GAGATGTGGGAGGACTTTAATAAGCCATGACTGGTTCCTTTACTTGTTTCCTCTTTAGTAATCTACAATCTACGCTTTAAGTGTGTCTACGTACTATGTACACATACTATGTATATATTCGTTTATGTATGTCTGTATACATGTACGTATATGCATAAATATGTACATAGTTTATATATTTTTGTTTTCGAAAATTGAAAACATTTAGCTGTTTATTTTATTGTATATATAAATATTATATTAAACAAACATAAAAATATTTGTGACTTTTTTATAATGGAAAAGTTGTAGGTACAAATTGTAGGTATAAAATAATTAAAATTCCTATTTCAAAAATAAAAAAATTGAATTCTTCAAAAAGAAAGAAAATATATATATTAAACAAATGCCATCTTAAAAAGACACTTCTTGCTGTTTTTATAAATATATTAAGTCAACATATTTTAAGGTACTACCCATACACATAGACCATACATATATATAAACGTACATATTGATTTTGGATTTATTTTTGAATCATGTATGAGTATATATTTAAATTGTGATTATTCCTGATTACATTTTTCGAATTTATTCAAATATTACATGTATAATTAAAAATAAAATTATTTTCATTAAAAATTTAATTTCTGTTTAATTATAAGCAGAAAAGAACAAACATAATATTGCATACGTTTTGTTGCTTGTTTACACTTTTTTTACAACTTTAAGATATGAAATTCGTAATTTAGGAGAACAAGAAATGGTAAAATTTTTTGAGCTAATTTCCACATTGAAAAAAAAGGTACACTTTTCATAAAAAAGTATTAATGAATTTTTTGCAAAAATTTAAAATTTCACATATTGTTTTAAAAAAGTCTACCGTTAACAAATTTTTCTATAAAAACGCCTATTTTGCAAAAATTTATGTTAATTTTCGAAAATTTACGTTGATTTGTCAAAGTAAATTGACGTAATAATTTTCGCATATAATATTAATGTCAACCGTATGTATAACGTTTTTCAAACGAAACAAGCAAGAAGATTGATCGTAGTCGTTTTGAAAAAAAAAAACATTATGACTTTTTAATTGATAATAAAAAAAATGTAATTAACGAGTTTGCTGTCAACACTATTTATTGCACTATGTCAAATCTTTATATACCGTCATTCAATTGCGAAACAAATATTTTGCATTTTGGTAAACAAAGTTCTCAAAGGTGCGTTTAAGTTCATTTGCAGCAAAAAAGACAAAAAACAATGCTTTAAAATTTTTTTGTGGATGTCTGGTCAGAAAATTCGTAAAGGTGCGCTTTGACATTAAATGCAAAATTTTGGACAGTGAAATTGTTTACAGTATAACGGTACGGTTTACATAATAACGGTACTTTTTGCACAGCGTTTTGTATTGAAAGAGAAGCATTCATAATTATTCTAGTATTTAAATGTGTGTACAAATTTTTCCGTTTAAAACTATTAAAAATGTGAATGTGCTTATATTGCTATATTGGGAATGAAATTAATTTGGCAATTTAATTTTTTTTTGGAGATTTAAGAAATTTTTTTATTGAGGTGCTTATTATCGCAATATATTTAATTATTAGTCGAAAAAAAGAATTGTAAAATTATATATGCACATATGTATGTGTACACAATTATATATTTCGCCTAGTCATCATTAATATTATTAAAATATATGCAAATCTTAAAGATAAAATTCGAATACCGGTTTTATTTATTTTAATAAAAAGAGATTTATTATAATTAACCGGTTAAAAACTTCTTTATTTTTTTGTTTCATTTTTAATTGAAAGTTCAAATTCATTAACAAAAAAAAAAGAGTGGATGAACACCAAAATTCAAAAGCTGAAATTATATTCGAAATGTTAAGGTTCGAATTCAAACTATACCTCAATTTTTACGAAGATATGTGTTGGCTCGAATAATTATGACATGGATTAGGAATTGTTTATTGAGTCACCGTTAAAATAAGGTGAATAGAAATTTCAATATACTCGTAACATTTTTAAACAGAAATTTTTGGGCTTTAAACACGACTTTCAATCATGCAAGTTACATTTATGAAGAAAAGTTGGTAGATATTAGGTTTGGTTTCTGATTTCATCACGGGGAAACTGACATCCAAATTATTAATTATAAATGAGGTTGGTGACCAAATAATTTCACTTATTACTTATAACTTGTAACTAAACACTTCTTTACGTATTTTTTTTTAGGAGTACGTAAAATATCTCTTGTTTATATTTACCATTCTGAACCTTTGGTCGCTTTAGAAAACAATATTGAATATGAAATTGCTAATATTCAGTCCAACATTTTTGTTTGGGAGAAAATTTCCATTGCATCCTCATTTGTAAAAAAGAATCAGTTACCCGAGCATTAACATATATATAAAGTGAATTTTTTTGACCAATAGTATGTTCGAATAAAACCAGTTAATATAAAAAAATTAAAAATAAATTACAGTTTTGCGTCAAAACAAAATTAATTAAAACAAAATAAATAATTCATATATATGTGTAGCTATGTATAGTTCTAAATTTTAATTTTAAATTGATAGTCACTTAATAGATCTTTTAATATTTATTGATGTTCGTTACTCCTTTTTCTTATTTGCTGTGATTGTTAGCAACTATTTATTTATAGCCAGTTAAATAAATTGCTTTGGCTTTACTTTTGTTATCATAAAGTAAAATCACAAATTCTTACTTTATTAATGTAGGAATAGAAATTTCTTTTTCAATTTTTATGAAATTAAGTGATGGTCAAATTGAAGTGAAAATTAAATAAAATGAAAATGGAAAAATCACATATGAATATGTGCGAACTAAAATTATAACCAGTTTTACTGGAACATATTGTTCCATTTTTGTACAGGTATAAAATGAAAAATCTAGGTGTGCCGCACTTCTTACATATAAATATGTTTTTGGATTCCAAATGGAAAAGCTATAAGTCTTCATACATGTTTCTACTAAACGTGTTTCTACAAAATATCATTTTTTTTTTTTTGCCTTTTCTCTTTATTCGGTACTCCCATTTAAAAGTTATTTCAATGAATGTTAAAGATTTCATGTTCTTATATTTTCAGATACATATACTCGTACATTAATGCAAAAAATTTAGCGTTGGTTTTTGAAAATAAGGAGTATAAAGAATTAAAAATAAAATTGGTGTACCATTATCCACATACGAAATTGGTATTTATTACAAAAAATAACATTGTCGACGCAAAAAGCAAATTCAAGAGAATCAAGAGTAATTTATTTCCTGTGATTTTTTTTTATTTATTTTATACGTAAAATTATTAAAAGAAAAGATTATTATGCTACATATGGAAATACGTACATTATATACACACTAAAAATACATTTAGCATTTGAGTAGCTCTTTTTGAAATTCTGTTTCTATAGTCTCGAACTTAGTTTCAATGCATAAAAATATCAAAAATAAATAAATATTAAATATGTTCAATAATAAATATTTCAAGATTTTAATCTCCAATCATAATATAAATCATATTTATTTATGTGCACATTCCTTGTAGGCACGGTATGTTGCATTATAGTTTCATATGCATATAAATAGATTTAAATTTCATTTTCAACGCCAAGCAAGGTTAGGTTAGCGAAATTTTTTGAATAAATGAACCTATGTATAGATGACGTGATTTAAAGAAAAGGAAGTTTTTCTTTGGAACTTCTTGATTTATTAGAATAAAAGTATCTATATATAATCAGTTAATTGAGGACGACTTTCCATTGCTTCAAAATTTCTTTCACATTTTCTAAAAATATGCACGACAAAAATAATCGTATGTATATTAACTTAATCGTGAGTATATTCACTCCGATAGTTGTTTCATAAAATTCACTTGATTTAAATCGTACTTCATATTTTCAATTTTGGTGGCTCTATTGTACAAACCTGCAATCAAATTTAGTTTATACGCGTCAATTTCATTTTAATGTTAATTTTTTATGAATATGCTGTTTCTTAAATTACTTTCGAAGCACACGAAAAAGGAATATATTTTTTTGATAGAATATATCCAATAAATAAACGCAGATAAGTAATAAAAGTATGAAACTACATATTAATTCTATGAAATTTGCTACATAAATTAAAAAAAAATTGTTTTTGTAAATACTTTGGACGCTATATAAAAGTTAAGCAAGAAAGTTCTAAGTATATTGTCCTCTCTATAATTTTTCTATTTGAAACATAAAATGCAAATCTACAGACATTTGAATACCTTGCCGATAAATAGTAAGAATCGGAAGAATTCCTTAATTATATAATTTAGTTCAAAATTTTTGCTCACTTAACTAAATTTTAATTCCACTAATAAATTTGGTTCCTTTTATTGTGTGGAGTACCATTAAATTAATACAAGAAAATTGGTACCAACAATTTATTTAAAATTCTTTAATTATTATCCTTCAGAAAAAAAAAATAGCAGTATTTTCTAAAAGCGCGCTGTTTTTTTATATAAGAAAAAATCTGTCGGATTTTTAACGTGTCTGGAATAAAATTTTAGTTTCAAAAGGCATTTCAAGACAATAAAGAAAATCCTTTTTAACATTACTGTTGTGCGTACGATCGATCGACTTCAAATAATTAAGTTGTATAAAATAATTTAAAATTATTGTTTAAATATTATTGTAATAATTTAAAATTATTATTAAAATTATAATTTAAAAAACTGAGTTACTAAAAAAAAATATATATATACTTAAAATTTTATATTGAAATTTACATACATGTATGTTTGGATTGACTTTTTAGGCGGGATATTTCCAGTCAAATAAAACAAAAAAACCTTTTTAAAAATAATTACAAAACTTAATATAAATTACAAATATAATAATCAAAGCATTTTCTTACTCCGTAAGTATAGTAGGTAACGAGAAGATAGTATTTGTTTTCTTAATTTATGTAATCAAATTTAAATATTTTATAATTAATTTTAAATCAAATATTTACTTTATAAAACTTACTTTAATAATCGCGGGATCACGAGAGTTCTTCTGCTTCTTCTTCTTCGTTTTCTTCTTCTTCTGTATTATATTTTTATTATTAAAAATGTTTTATGGGTGAACACTTGTATGCAAATATAATTGAATATTTTTGAATTAAAATATATCAAAGTATCTAATTTTTTTATTTATTTTTTAAATTCTAATATAAAAATAAATGTAAATATTATGTTCTTGTTTTTATAATAATTAGTTTGTTTTTATTTTTTATTTTATTAAAACACAGAAAATTATTTTATTTATTTATATAGATTTTGTATATGTACATAATATGTGGAGTATCATATACAACGAAACTACATATATTATGTAGCTACCCTACATCATTTTAATAATGCTATGAGAAAATTTTGGAATTTCTTGTATACATATACTAACATACATATGTATATATACTGTTTTATATGTATGTATGTATATAGTACATGTATATATATATGTTATACTGTTAATAATATAGTCAAAAAATGATCTTCATTTTATGTGGTTTTTATTTAGAATTATGAGAATTATTTAAATTACCTTTATTATACAATATTAATTTTGTTCTTTTTTTTTAAATTATTAAATGTACCTACATATATTAATCATAATTATATACTTATTATCTTATATCACAAATCAAGAACAATTTAATGTACAATTAAAATAATTTTATAATTATTGTATCTGCTTCCTTATGTATGTACAATATGTAAATATATTTAAAAAAAAATTTTAAATTATTTTATTCAATTAAAACCACAAAAAATACAATTTTAAAAATCGGAAATAAGTTGAGAAAATTTAATTTAGAAATCACACAAGTTATATACAAACTAATAATTAAATTGTAAAAACATTTTTAACACAGAAAAAATAAACATTAAGTTAAAAATTATTAGAAAAAAAAAGTATTAATTATTTGTCTCTTTTAATTCAAATTCAATTTTGCCAGCTATTTAATTTAAGAGTTTTTGATGCATCACATTCGTATGCTAAACATAAACTGACATATGTTTTGTACCGTACCGTTTAGTTTTTACTGTTAAAAAAGCTGGCTGGTTGGCTTTAAACATTTTTTTTATTATTGTTTTTGTGTTGTATTTATTTTTTTTTGTACTTTTGTTTTTGCTTTTTGCTTACAGTGATATTGTGAACTGTCGTAGTGGTATTAAAACATAGAAATTAAAAAAAATACAAGAGTACTGCCAATAAATTATAAAAATTTTATTTAAATGTTAATAAAACAAATTAAAAAAGTCATAATTTTTGTAATTTTAATTGGAAATAATCATTTAATATTTATACAACATTTAATGTGACTAAGTATGTACAAACAAAGTCATATTTATATATTATGTGTATATTATTGACAGATGTGTATAATATTTGGGTACTTTTGAGAAATAGTGCGGTGAAGTTGTATGACAGAAGTTGTATGTATATAGAAAGGTCTGCTTTTTTGCTTATTTTTGTAAAAACTTAAAGAGGTTCTAGAAAATTAGAGTTCTTTAATAATATGTAGAAAATAATTATCTCCGTATATACTAAAAAAATTTCAAATTAACTAATATACTAAAATTTACATTGACTTCGTAATCGGATTTTTGAATTTATGCAAATGGCGGTGATGAGGGTAAAATTTTCGATAATTACAATAAATATGAAAAAAAAAAAACAATTATCAAATGTTATTATTGTATTTACATAAATTATATTATTCATAATTTGCAAAATTTGAAATATTGATTGTTACAAACCAGATTTTTTTCTTGTTTCTTTTTTATTTTTTAAGTGTAGTGGAGGCAAAAATTTATCAACATGTTTTTGAAAATGCACAATGTAAATTTATAATTGTATGTTTGTGAGTACTTGAATGCCGGTATACATAGTAACTCACATATATCTATATGTAAGTAATAGTTTTCTTTTTTCAAATTAGAAATCGGAAAAAAATTCCACTGCTGATACGTTGTGTATTTGAATCTTCTGTTTTTACCGAAAAGAAAACAAATAGAGTAATATATTATGCACTTTTTAACACTTTTTTAGAAAATTTAAAAATTAAATTAATAATTATAATTATTAAAAAAAGTGCATATTAGGTTCACTCTGTCCGTCCCTCAGTCCGTCTGTTCGTGTGTCTGTTTACACAGCTTTTACAAACTTGAAGATAGAAAGCTGAAATTCCATATGTACATAGATCTTTACTACAAACTTATTTTTGCAAAAGAAAATTTTAATTTTCCTCCCCGTCTAAATGTTATAGTCTCTCAAAGTCCTAAACATGCCATTTTTCAACTATTTATTGCTAAGAAACTAAGCATTTTTTAAATTTCGAAAACGCAGAAATAGTGGCTGGCTTCTACGACCGCGGCATACTATATTTGAACTTTAAAAATAAAATGCCGTTAAAATTTTTGATATCGTTTTTTTTCTAGACCTAAGGTTGTACGAGTTTGAAATTCTCTCTCATGTTATCGCCACCTGAAATTTCTTAACGGGAAACACCATGCCATTAAAAAATGTAATCATTTTTCATAACTCACGTAGTTAACTATTAAATTCGAGCATTATGTTAACGCCTCCTTCAATTTTTTTTCGTTCCATTTCAAAGAGTACATGCTAGAGTGCATGCTATTTTAGACCTCTAAATTTGAAATATGCAACTGAAAAAAGTAAGTGCATAACAGCATTAACCTTAAAAATTTTCAAGAATTTAAACTTATTAATTACATATTGAATAATTTTTTTCAAGTTATTAAAATATTTTATTAACCAGCTACATTATATTGTATTAAAAAAATTTAATAAATTCAAATTTCGATATTGTTGTAATGTAAATACAACAATATCGAAAATAAAATGCATACCTATTCCTTGAAGTTCAATCGAGACTCGTTCCAGCGCGCGATATGAAATTCTTTAGTACATTAAAATTTTGTAATAAAATTGAGTATATCCAAAAAATTAAAATATTGGTGCTGCAGTCGTTAGAAAGAAATTTTAATTCGCAAACACAATTTTTTTTATTGTGAATGGAACAATATGATTTTTTTAAGAATGACTGCGAAATATTTTAATTTTTTGTTGACTTATAAATAATAAAAATTATATATGTAGGAATACAACGAAATTCCGATTAAACGAATGCAAGGAAAGTATTTTTATTATTAAAATTTATTAATTTTTTTGTTTGATTTTTATATTATTTCGTTTTATATTTTGATTTTAGTTCGATTTTAATGATTGTTGTTAATGTATTTTATTCTTATATTGTGAATAAGTGCTAATTATCGAGAATCGATGTTTGTTTTGACAAATGAAATGATTTTGACAAAGCTAATTTGCCGATTTGTTTTGTTTTATTTGTTATACTACGAATTGTACAAGAAAAGGTTAACTTTGAAAAATAAATAAAAGGATACTTTTGAGTGTATATTTTACATATTTAAGTTTATATATTTAAATTTAATAAGCTAATAAGCTTAAGGCTTGCATTTTTTCTTAATAGGATCTCTAAAAAAGATTTTATTATGAATATGCATAATATGCCAAATCAGGGAGGAATGATGATTGGTAGTGGAATGCAAGTACCTGGAGGTATGCAAGGTCCTGGTGGAATGCAAGGTCCTAGTGGAATGCAAGGCCCAGGAGGCATGCAAGGCCCTGGAGGAATGCAAGGACCTGGTGGAATGCAAGGACCAGGAGGAATGCAAGGGCCTGGTGGAATGCAAGGACCTGGTGGAATGCAAGGGCCTGGTGGAATGCAAGGGCCCGGTGGATTACAAGGTCCTGGTGGAATGCAAGGTCCTGGAGCAATGCAAGGTCCAGGGACTATGCAAGGTCCGGGGGCAATGCAAGGTCCTGGCACAATGCAAGGTCCCGGTGCAATGCAAGGTGGAGGTGTTATGCAGGTATCTAGTAACATGCAGGGAACATCTGTTATGCAAGGAGCAGGTGGAATGCAAGGTCCTGGTGGAATTCAAGGAGTTGGAAATAGTATGCAAGGACCGGGTGGAATGCAAGGAAATGTTCAGGTTAATGTGCCAACATCTGGTATACAAGGTCCCGGTGGCATGCAAGGTCCCAGTGGAATGCAAACATCTGCAGGAATGCAAGGTCCGAGCGGAATCCAGGCTCCTGGTGTAATGCAACCGCAAGGGGGCATGCAAGGTCAAAGTGGTATTCAAGGGCCCGGAATTTCAATTCAGACATCTGCAGCGATGCAAGGTCAAAGTGGAATGCAAGGGCAAGGTTCCATACAGGGTCCGGGCGGGATTCAGAGTCCGGCTTCAATGCAGGGACCTGGAGGAATTCAAGGTCCAAGTCCGATTACAAGTACCAGTGGAAATATGCCAAATACCGGTGGAAGTAACATGCAAGGACCTTCTCCAATGCAAACAGGTATCTCTGGCTCTTCTGTAATGAATGCTCCAACAATGAGTGCCGGAATGCAGGTAGGTGTTTCACCTCAAATGATGCAACAAAATTCACCGCAGCAACCGCCACAAAATATGCCATCACAACAAATGCAACAACAATTATCCCAACAACAAAGACCACAACAACCGTCCAACGATCATTTGGATAATATTTCAAAGATCAAAAGTTTTGTTGGACCATTGCGTGAACATTTGGCAGCTACTTTTAAATCAGCTGCAGTTCTACTGCATCAAAATAATATGTCTGATAATTTGTAAGTTTCCAAAAGCATTAATTATATTTTGATGAAGTTAACTATATAAGATTTTTTTATTATTGTATTAATTTAGAAAAAAGGATACATCAAACCCCAATGTACGCTTTGACAAAAATTTAGAAGAATTCTATTCTACATGTGATCAAATAGAACTACATTTGGTAAATCAGAATTACAAAATACTCTTTTTAATTTTGTTTTAACTGTTCTTATATTTTAGAAAACTGCTATTAACTGTATTCAACAACTATCATCATCAAGCCATTATTTACCTGGATCAGTTTTAACAATGCGAAATGAACCTTTTAATCAACCAGAGAATCAACCAGCACCAATGTCATATCCACAGTATCTGTCGACAGTTAGAGCTCACATTTCATCAGCCAAAGATATACATGATACTTTAATAAGTGCAGCTCAAAATATATCTCAGAGCGATTGATAAGAAGTTTGTTAATTTTGTTAAATTTTTCAATTCTTATTTCTGCATCAAACAAAACGGATAATATTAGTGTAAAGATTCTTTTGATTATTTTAGTATATTTAAATATTTTCAATTTAGAATGCAATTTTATAAATATTTTTTGTGTTATTTTAGTGAAATTGGTGAATTTTTGAAGATAAAATTTATACCTAGTGTCTCATAATCTAAAATTTAAAACAATATAGCAAAAACAACATAGGTAATCAAAAACAAAAGGACTGACTAATTATTTTATTTTTAGTTGTATTTTTTATAAAATACATTGTTTATGAAATATTGAAATAAGACTAATGTATGTATAAATAAAAGTGAATATAACAGTTTTATAGGAATATTTGATAAGATGTTATTTGATTCTGGAATATACAAAGTGTGTGTTTAACTTTAAAATTTCTTTAACTCATTCATTTGGTAATGGTTTACCAACTCTTTCTTTGAACGACGGATATTGAATGCCAATCTGTTTTTAAGTTAGAAAGCTAAAATAATTGGAAGAGATATTAAGGAACTACTTGAGTATGAAGCAAATCAAAAGCTAAAATATTCAGTTTCGGCAAATTTTCAAGTATGCTTAAACAGACTATCTGAATTATCGAAAATCTTCGTAATATACAAATGGGATAAATTTTTATAAAACAACAGCAACACTATAATTTTTTCTTGACATTTCGTACATGATATAATTTTCCTGTTCCTGTTTTTCAATTTTTGCTTGCTTCTAAATTCAACTGTGGACGTGGAAACATATCAAGCCATCGTAGAAATCAAATTCAACAACATTATATATTTTGTCAATTCTAATTAAAACTGAATTGTATTTATAAATTATCGACTTATTATATTTGATATAATAAATTCAAAATAATTTTTGAAAACTAAATTTTTCATAATAATCATATTTTTATTAACTTTCCACATGGGGGCTCAACCGGGATGGACAAAATTATGAAAAATTTATAAAAGCACATTGAAATATAATTTAAAATACAAAAAACAAAAACGCATTTAATGAAACTGCAAAGCTTTCGCCAATATAGAATATAAAAGCAAATTATCAAAACAGAAAAACAAAATCAGAAGCTAGTTCAGAACAATTAATTTCGAAAATTTTACGATACCTAATTCTGTGTTATCACATTTTTATTACTCTCTACATAATAAAAACAGGTAGCTGTTATACCTAAAATATAAATTGTTTATAATATTACGACCTGTGAAAGTTTTGGTGATTATTACTTAAATAGTTGAGATTTACATTTTGTAATATAGAGTTGCTTATTGTATTGAGAAATTGAAAAAAAAACGTGGACGTAGAAAAATTAATAAATTTAATTTCATACTCAATAATTAGCATTTTACAATGAGTGGAAGACGCCGTAGAACTCTTCAAAGAAGCGACACAACTATTGATGGTAATTTGGGTGATGTTGTAGGTAATTATTCTCGTTCTTATGAGCACGATAATCCAAAAATGAATTTTAATGATGTAGAAAGTATCATTAAAAAATATTCTGGTACTGAAACTATGAATGTTAGAATCTGGTTAAACGAATTTGAGCAATATTCAAATGTTTTTAAGTGGAACGATTTACAGAAGTTTATTTTTTGCAAAAGATCATTAGCAGGTGCTGCGAAACTGTTTATAGATTGTGAAGCTAAGCCATTACGCTACAATGAATTAAAAGATGCTTTGATAAAAGAATTTCAATCAACAATTACTAGTGCAGAAGTACATGCTAAATTACGTGAAAGAAAAAAGAAAAATGAAGAATCTTTTCGTGAATATTTATATTGTATGGTTGATATAGCCTCGCAAACTAACATAGACGAATCTTCCGTGGTGAGTTATATAATAGATGGAATCAAAGATTTATCAGGTAATAAAATGATTTTATTTGGTGCTAATACTATAAGTGAATTGAAAGAAAAATTATTAGTATATGAAAAAATCTCTAAAAGCGAAATCTCTAGACATATTGCTGATAAAAAACCTAATATGAAATCTAAAAATGATAATAATAGCTACAAAAAAGTTGCACGCTATTGCTTTAATTGTGGTTCTAATGACCATGAATTTCACAATTGTCCACACAAAGATAAAGGACCTAAGTGCTTTGGTTGCAATAAGTACGGTCATAAAAAAGTAGATTGCAAAGAACCTATTAATAAAAATTACGACACAAATAAGAATTCTTTCTCAGCAAAAACTTCTACGAATATGACGAAAACGATGAAAAGCAATATGTGTATCCAGGCTAAAATTAATAATATAGATTTCGAATGTTTAATTGATACCGGAAGCGACATATGTGTTTTGAAACAATGTTATTTTAAATTAATTAATGTTAATTCTAATTTTAGGAACTCACCTATTATTATAAATGGTTTGGGCACAAATATTAGTACAAAAGGTTCATGTTACGTTACTATTGATGTTAATGGCGATATTTACGATAATATTGAAATACATTCAGTTGACGATAATTATTTACAAACAGATATGATTATCGGCATGAATTTATTAAATAAAGCAAATATTAACATAAGTAATGGTATTATAAATATAAAAAAGAATGTTCCTGTACAACAAAATTGCAATAATAAACTTAATGACGAAAATTTATCTTGTTTTTTAGCAAAAATTAACATTGATTCTGAAACTAAAGAATATGATGATTTACGTGGATTAAATAATTTACAAAAAGACGAAACCAACAAGGTAATATCGTTAATTAAAAATTATTCACCTAAACTTTCACAGGACTCACCGATACGTATGAAAATCGTCACTACCGATGAAGAACCTGTTTATAGACCACCTCGTAGATTTCCACCACACGAAATGAAAATTATCGAACAACAAATTAAGCAATGGACTAATGAAAAAATTATTCGTGAAAGCTCGTCCGATTATGCCAGTCAAATAGTCCTCGTCAAAAAAAAGGATAATTCATATCGGCTATGTGTAGATTACCGTGGAATAAATAAAAAAATAATAAAGGATCGATACCCACTTCCTAATATAGAGGAACAGATAGACAAGCTTCAACCATATAAATATTTCACATCGTTAGATTTAGAAAATGGCTTCTTTCATGTCACTATCGAAGAAAATAGTAGAAAATATACATCCTTCGTAGCACATTGTGGGCAATTTGAATTCATGAAAGTTCCTTTCGGGCTATGTAACTCGCCCAGCGTCTTTCAAAAATTTATTAATTTTATTTTAAGAAATTTAATTAAGGATGGTATAATCGTGGTGTACATAGATGATATTATAATACCATCACAAACCGTAGAAGAAGGTATAAATCGACTAGAATTGGTATTAACAGTATGTGCAGAAAATGGACTCAAAATAAAGTGGAAAAAATGCCAGTTTTTACAAAGCGATATTGAATATTTAGGACATCGCATTCATAATGGTTCAATTTCACCATCAACTTTAAAGACTAAAGCTGTCATGAATTTTGCAATCCCGACAACCATTAAACAGATGCAAAGTTTTCTCGGTCTTGCAAATTATTTTAGAAAATTTATACCAAATTTTGCTGTTAGAGCTAGACCACTAAGTGAATTATTAAAACAAAATATCCATTTTAGAATCGGTGACGTGGAAGTAGCAGCTTTTAATGATATAAAACAAGCTTTGGCTAACAAACCAGTTCTTAAAATATTTAAATATGGTGCATATACTGAGTTGCATACAGATGCATCTCAAGAAGGTTATGGTGCAGTATTATTTCAAAAAGACGTTGAAGATGGTTCGTTGCATCCTGTATATTATTCAAGCAAAAAAACTACAGATGCAGAAAGAAAATATAGCTCATACGAGTTAGAAATTCTAGCAATTGTCGAAGCTTTAAAGAAATTTAGAATCTACTTATTAGGTCAAAAATTTAAATTAGTTACCGATTGCAAAGCATTCGAATGTACTATGAAAAAAAAAGATTTAGCGACTAGGGTTGCCAGATGGGCCCTTTTATTAGAAGAGTTTGATTATGTCATAGAGCACAGAGCAGGCGCGAAAATGAAGCATGTAGATGCACTGAGTAGAAATCCAGTTGTTATGTGCATCTATCAAGAAACGGGTTTTCTAAAAAAATTAGCTGAGGCTCAGCGTAGTGACGAAAATTTGCTCTCAATTATCGAAATTTTACAACATAAACCTTATAAAGATTATATATTACATAACAATATCTTATGCAAAAATTATAATAATAATATTTTATTTGTAGTGCCAGATGCGATGAAAACACAAATAATAAAAGAAGTACATGAGAGGGGTCATTTCCATCATAAAAAAATGAAGGACATAATCGAAAAGGATTTTTATATTTCAGATCTTAACCAAAGAATTACAAAATTTATTACGAACTGTGTCAGGTGTATTTTGTCTGAACGCAAATCTGGCAAAGCCGAGGGTTTCTTGCAACCAATTCCAAAGGGAGAACGTCCACTCGAAACATTTCACATCGACCACCTTGGACCCATGACAACAACAAAAAAGCACTACAAATATTTATTTTCAATTATTGATGCTTTTTCAAAATTTTTATGGCTCTTTCCTACAAAAACATTAAATGGCGAAGAAGCAATACAAAAACTAGAAATAATAGCAGAGACGTTTGGTTACCCTGAAAAAATTATTACAGACAAAGGTGGAGCTTTTACGTCAAATCTTTTTCAGGATTATTGTAAGGAACGTAGCATTACCTTACATTTTATCACAGTTGGTACACCACGTGGAAATGGTCAAATAGAACGAGCTCACTCAATTGTTATAGCTACACTTACAAAACTTGCTTTAGATAATGCTGAAAAATGGTATAATTATGTAAAGCCAGTTCAACAGATGATTAATTCAACTTATCAACGTGCTATAAAAACTACCCCGTTTCAACTGCTTACAGGCTGTAAGATGAAGGTTCAAAATGAATTTAAAATTATGGAAATAATAGAACAAGAATCAATTAAATTATTTGAAGATAAACGTCATGAACAACGTGAACAAGCTAAAAAGGATATTCAAAATATTCAGTTAGAAAATAAAAATAATTTCAACAAAAAACGAAAAGAACCCAGAAAGTATAAATTAGACGAGTTGGTCGCAATAGAAAGGGTTCAGTTTGGCACTGGTCTAAAAATACGACCAAAATTTCTGGGACCTTATCGTATAATTGGAATTAAAGGCTTCAACAGATATAAAGTACAAAAAGAAGGTGACCATGAAGGACCAAATTATACAGATGTCAGCGTAGATAAAATAAAACCTTGGTGTAATTTCGAAATTGATTACGATATGTTAGCCGAAAATGATTCAGAAAATTGAAATACTTTCTTTAAAAATATCTCCAGGGGCTGAAGATACTTTAGGATGGCCGAATGGGATAAATTTTTATAAAACAACAGCAACACTATAATTTTTTCTTGACATTTCGTACATGATATAATTTTCCTGTTCCTGTTTTTCAATTTTTGCTTGCTTCTAAATTCAACTGTGGACGTGGAAACATATCAAGCCATCGTAGAAATCAAATTCAACAACATTATATATTTTGTCAATTCTAATTAAAACTGAATTGTATTTATAAATTATCGACTTATTATATTTGATATAATAAATTCAAAATAATTTTTGAAAACTAAATTTTTCATAATAATCATATTTTTATTAACTTTCCACATACATACATACATGTACTATATTTGTTTACAATAATAAAAGTAATTTGTTTTCCTCAAGTAAAAACAAAATGTTGGTCCAATTTTAAATTACAAAATTCATCATGAAATTAAAAATTATTAAAAATTATTGAACTTTTGCTAGTGATGAGTTTCTAATTTCATAAGTTTCTACAATATTTTAATATATGTATGTATGTATGTATCATTGTATCTGAACTTGTTTATTGTATCTCTTATGTTAATAAAAATTACTTATCAACTTAAAAATGAGGTGCATTTGAATATTAATTTTTTAATATTATGTTAAAGAATTTATTATTGTATCTAATAAGAATCACAATACATACATACATGTTATGTATACTCACAATTAGATTGGCTTTACATATATAAACTTATGAATATATTTAATTATTTACACATTATGAATCATATATGTGTGTATACGATTAAACTAGAGTGATAAACATTGAAAACATTCAAGTTTTTTTACAGTTATTTTGTTATTATACTTGGTGTATTTTTACTACCATACAAGAATAACAGCAAACACGTGCTGTTAAAACTTTCAAGGTAAAAAAATCTCTCTAATAAAATATTAAACAAGAAAAAAAAATAATGAAAAAATAAGAAGCAAGGGAAGTAAAAACATAGAGAAGAGAAAATAAAAGAGTTTTGGTTTTATTTTTTCTTTTTCTTTTACATAATATTATAAGATGAAGTCCTGGAAATTGTTCTTGCCTAAAAATATATAAATGAATAAAAAGGATAAAAAAAGCTTTTTATATCTGTGCTACCTACGAATTTGTTATATGAAAATGAATACTTGTATTAAATTATAAAATTCTTTTTTTTAGAATGACAAAAATGGAATATATGTACATATATGTATGTATATAATGAAAAAAATTAGGCCAGGTGAGATTTTTATTATAAAACAATGATTATACTCTATAGATAGAGCGTGCATATATGTTTGTATATACATAAGTATGTATATGCACTTTACGTTCATACAAGTAGGTATATATAAATTTGAGTGTAGCATATAGAGTGTTCAAAACCACTTCGTCTCTTAATATTTTAAATTAATTTAAAAGAAGTTTTAAAAGATAGAAAATTTTGAAATTTGAAAATTTTATTGAGATTAGATTCTGTTCGAGTAATTTCAATATGCATTTACTCTACGAGATACGAGATACGACATCTTCTAATATGACACGATATGAATTTGGACCATTTTTATTCGGCTTTAGTTTAATGGTACATATTTTAAAAATAAATTTTTTTTTGGTTATTCTTTTTATAAACTTAATTAGATTTTATTTTATTTATTTTTGTTAAAAAATTAGGTTTTTTGAGTTTTATATTTTACATGTTTTTATATTTTACATGTTTTTTTTAAAAAAACATGTGAATTATAATTAAAAAATAATTCGTATGTTTTTCGTTTTCATATATTTTTTTTCCTTTTCAAGCGAAATTTACAGCTTTGTACAGTGCTCTAATTGAAGGTACAGATATTTACAGTGTTTCATTTGTGTTCAACAAATTTAAATTTTCTTTTATTGCTCTGAAGAAAAATTATACCAAAGAGTGAACACCTTGTCTTTATAAAGATGTGTCTTCGCATATGTATATGGAAATATATGTGGAGACACATCTTTATAAGGACATAATATAGTACATAATTACATACAAATCTTTATAAGGATATAATATGTACACATAAATATAGTATATAACAGTAATTAGTGTTATAGAACAACTGAATGTTAATATAAGGTGCAATACGTTGTGTTATACAATAAAAAATAATAATAAGAAACACTAATAGAAGTACAGGAGAATAAGGACTTGTACAAAAAGTACAAGGCATTTAAAAAAAAATAGAATATAAGGTAAGATAACACTTTTTTTTTAATTACAATGTGTACATAAGGATCTTATTATAGATTATAGTATACTATTTGTTTGGAAACTAAGGGAGTGATAATTTTTCTTTTGATTAATATATAATTAGTCTTAATTAAGTTTTCTATGCCTTAATGTATATTTTTAGAATATGAGATGAAATGTAATGGTATGAAAATTAAGTAATTGTGATAATAAAAATAAAAATGTGATTTTTTTTCATTTAGTTATCATATATAGACCCTATGATTTTGATTAGATTGTGTTGTTGATCGTGTATTATTCTACTAAAATTTTCAATACAGGAAATAATGCATATTGAAATGATCATTTGAAATTAGTACCAATAGTGATAATAAATTTATATTAATTTTATGGTTAAATTTAAAAGCTAGGGCAATATTTTAAGATTTTAAATAATTTGATTAAGTATAAGGATCAATAGCCATACGTGTAATTTTATAATTTGAAATAGAATATTCGAGTTTTATAAAATAAATTGCGATTTAAATTTAAAGGGAACATTGAAAAATGCAGTTGTACGTAGAATATAGAATACATTCGGAATTATTTCTGTGGCCTAAAATCAGAAATATTTAAATGGCCTACAATCTAAAAAATTATGTAAAATATAATTTTTTAGATGAAACTATCCGTAATTCATCATATGTATGTCTTCAAACGATTTCTTGCTTTAGTGTAGTAAAGAAGAAAATTGATAATAAATACAAAAGGTCTTTTTGGTAATAAATTTTGCTTCTTATTTGTAAATATATACACATTTTTTAAAGAAAAATATAATGTGCGTTGTATAAAAATTTATTCTCGTGCTTTAGTCAACTGGATGTAGAGTTATTGTTATTAAATTATTGAGATAAAATATTAAATGCGATTTATGTACATTTGTATACATTTTTTCTATGTTTGGGTTTTATTGGAGACAGGCTGACGCTAGTTTTTACTAAAAATTTAAAAACTTTTCTCGCACTGCAAAAATTGTCTTCTCGCAATATCGAAAGTCGATTTGAAAAACAATTTTTATGATTATGTTTTTGTATTTGTTATTATAATTGTTATTATATTCTGAAATTTTATTTATTTTTCTAAAATTTTAGCGTAAAAGGTGATTACAAGCTCCCTTTCTTGATTGATTTGAAGTTATACTTGTAAATTGAACGCTTGTTGCTTGTTGATAGTTGCTTATTTGCGACTATACATGATGTTTATTGCGCCCTTTGACGATCAGTACGTATGTACTTGAACATATGTTGATTAAATTATGTTATTATTTTCAAATAAATTGTTTTTTCTACATCATGTAATCTGTGGAAAAAATTTTTTTATTTAAAGTCCTTTTCAAAGAAAAAAGAATTATTTTTCCACCATCTCTACTTTTGCGATACAAAAATATTTTTTTTTCATTTTTATTGAAATTTTATACCCTTTCAAAAAGTTTATTTTTGCGTATCATTTTTGTTTTTTTACAAAACGAATTGGAATCCGCCAGAAGGATTTTTTAACTTTAATTGATTGAAATAAAATATTTATAAACAAAAAAAATTATTATTTTTATTTTAATTTAAGATAAAAATTTATATAAAGTGTATTATCAAATTTGAAAAGAAAAAAAAATGTTATAAATTTTTTTATGAAAAATTTTTTTTTCTGAAGAAATTTTAATAATAGACAAATATTGTAACATTAAATAAGTTTTAAAGTAAATTTAAATAATTAATGAATGAATTTTAAAAATAATATTTAGGTCATTTGTAAAACCACAATAAGTAGAATAAAAAGTATGGGTAATCGATAATGTCTGATGTAACAATTGCAAACTACAGATATTTTAAAGCTTCATGTGCATACTTAATTTCGAGCTCTTACGGCACTGCAGTTTTGTAGTTGCATTTAATATTTTGATTTAATTGATCGATTACACCTCATGTCCGAGGAAAAATCTTTGAGTTTTCAAGGCCCTCCACTTTCCCTAATTAGAATGAAAATCATCCCTACATGTCTGAAAACTTCCATATTCCACGTTCTGAAAACTTTTAGAAGCCACGGAAGTGTAAATTCTCTAGTGTTGTGCAGCATTGCCGGAACTATGCCATCCACTCCAGTTGCCACATACTGTGAGAAGTTGTCCACAGCCTAGATATGTAGATAGATTGTAGATTCTGAGGGAACCGAGTGGGACAGAAGTAACCCCCTAAGCCATCGCAGCCATTTTTGACTTATTGTAGCCTCCCCACGCTCCCGCCTATAATATCTCCGTCCCAACCACAAAGCCGGAGATATCCCTAAGGAAGTTGGACAACAGTTCCCGAACACTTAGGGACCCACGTCCAAGACAATTGCGGCGCCGAACAGCCGGACGAAAGGGTGCCGGACAGTCGCAATCGTGCACGGCGGTCTCATCGCCACCCCCACAAAATCTG